CCACGGAAATCATCATTGCGATCTTTTGTCTTTATCGCTCTTTACATACACTGCTGATGTGGGAAACGAACAGGACAATGACGTAATATTTCTCGTTTATCGGATGTATTGTTGGAGCAATATTGAGAGTTGTGTCATTCTATTAAACTCAATCATATTGATTGATTCAAACATAGTTACAACTGACCATTTGTAGCTGATTTTTTTATGTGCAAACATCCGCCTCCTCTTGTAATTGGGAGTAACTTACGACGCTTGATTTTTTAATATACTAGCTGACGCGGCAGATATTGTTTTGCTATATAATTTAAAGTAAATATCGCAATAAAGTAGGAGTTAGTTGTAGAAGGGTGGAAATTTAGGAGCATATGTATTTTTTAATTCCATTCCATTCTACCTACATGTTCCGGAAGAAATTCTCGAAATTACAGTGAAAACTACACATAACATTTGTTTAACTTAGCTCCTACGTAACTTCAGTTGACAAATATCATTAAGATCAAGTAACTTGGCAAATACAGAGAAATACAGACAGAGAAAGACTTTCAAAAATGGAAATAGATAATAATGCAAATTAACTTAATATAAGAACTTTTGAATAGTAATATTTCTTTTATTCTACTACTCATTAGGAACGCATACTCATCACAAGAAGAATGAGCCAGACACTTGCGTGTTGCTGTTTAAAAAAAAAATGTTGTTCAGAATTACATTTTTTTAACTTATTAGGTTATCAACAAGGTTCGCACCAACACAATTACAATGACAAATTTGTACTTACAATTTACAAAACAGATAACTTTAGAACTTTACCTTTTTAAAAAAAAATTAATTTTGTGTCAATACAAAATTCTTCCAAAAGTAGACAACTCCTTACCACCTACTTTTATGTCGGTTAAAAAGTTGTGAGATATCATGGCTGGCATTATTAAATCCTTGACTGTCCATCAAATATATTACTCGAAAGTTCTCTCCGTAACAACAAATTACCCACTGAATGAGTATCGATTTATCAATGTGTATAAATTGTATTTTGAACTGAATTTATATAGAAAGAAGATTTCAAATCGATTAAATTTTTCACAATTGTATTATAGTATACATATATCACACTGCTTAGTTACGCAATATATTCGCTAATTGTGTATACATTTTGTTTAGTTTCTGACGGGTAGTACAGTGATATATTTTATTAGGTATTTCTTATATCACGTCATCTATGATTTAATTGTATATTTCCCTGAGTCCATATAATTGAATAGGACAGTAAACTTTATATTCATGCCATAATTTTGTCTGTTAACTTAAAGCGTGACCGAGCAAGTCTACAACAGTAATTTATAGTTACTTAATTACGGAACCCACTCACGAGACAGTACTATTTGTACTACGCATGCTAATATCCGTAAATGGAATATGTTACTAAGACTACATAAGAAAAATGGCGACGACATTCAAACGAAAATTCGTGTTATTCTTTTTAATATTGGGACTTTGGAATTAAAGTTCCAAATTCAAATATCTGAATACGAAAAAAGTTATAATTTGACTACTTATTTTATCTTAATTTCTTTTCTGCTAACGTCTATCTGCTTTTAAGTATATACATATGTAGTTCCTCTAATTTAATAAAAAAATACAATTGTTTGATAACATTTAAGATAACTTTAAAATTAGGCTGACTGCAGATCTGAATATGCCAGGATCAAATACAGGCGGGCAGTTCATGTAAGGATGGTGTCGATAGAATAGTAATAGTAGACTCTGTATATTGTTATTAGTTGGTTTATCATTATTATATTTTAAAGAGAGCATGAGAGGCTATAAAATTATTTATTAGTCTAACTTTCAGTAGACTGTGAAAGAAACCAAGACAGACAGAATACTAAACGGTTTCTCTCAGTCAACTTTTGTAAAGTAATAAAACTTTGAACGCGACACTGGAATAATAAATAAATTTATTATAGTTTTTTATACCACGTTGTTTTTAGAAAGCAGGAATCCTCTTCCATTATATTGGTGCAATTTTATCAATCAAAATCATGAACAAGAAAAAAAGGACGAGATGATGTAATGAATACATTTTATAATAACAGAATTAAATGACAGAAGGTAAAGGAGTCATAAAAATAAGACTATTCTTAACAAGAACAAAAGAATCATCTGTGAATATGTCATCGTAAGAAAACAAATAGAAGATTTAAAATATTTAAATAGTAATAACAGTATTTAACAATAGGAAATATAACATAAAAATTAATCACATAAAATAATATGTGTCTTGATTGTCCGGAACATATTACCTGGCCAGTAAAACCATTTTTTCTGAATCAAAATTTCTATTCAATATAATTTTTGTATTAGATATTTGATGCAATTAAAAGTTAATAAATAAATAAGTGGTCTCGACAGTGCGGTTTCTTCCGCGTACACCTAGATTGTGGAATGTCGAGGTTTTCTCGAGAGACTACAGCAAGGGTATATTATTATTAAGGGTAGATAACACGCACGTGACACGTGTTTCAGTTGTTCATAGGCTATGGTAACTGTTTTTCCTCAGATGAGTTTTGATGAGGTCTTGTTGACCATCTATGTAGTATAAAAAATCCCATAAAATTGATAAACTAATGTTTATAATTTTTTTTGTTTTTTTTATTATTGGTAATCCAATAAGTACTGTAACTATCTAACTAACACAAATGAAACAACAGAATTGCAAAAGATATCGACATAATATGAATAAGTATCATGCAAAATTAACCAATATCATCTAAACTCGATTACATCATAAATAATGAAGAACATATATTGCAAAACGTTAAGAAACAGATACACTATGGCTAAAAGACAGCTGCATTATGACTATTGAATAATTATAATAGGCCATTGATATATGTAACGGTGGAGTTATGAGAGTGAAGTCATCGTGATTAATGACGACATCCGGTCTACTCCGCGCCGGTAAAATGAAGAATAAAGAATAATATTGACAGACAGGCAACTCATTACATTGTTTTTAGGTGCTTTTATAATCAATGGTTTCAATAGTGTTGTCACGTCTTATCACTTGAGTTGAAGATATTATATAGTTAAAAAATAATTTAATAAAATAAAATATCTTAAATAACTTTATTGCCAGAAGATATTACAGAGACATAAATAGACAATAACTGACTATATTATTTAAAATAAGTAGTTTATTTTAAAGGACTAGGATGATTCTCTCTATGATGAACACATGTAGTCACAAGCGATGTCGTTTACTTTTTTGAGATAAAAATGGCTTATCTCCGTCGTTGTGACATAATTTCGTGCTACATTTCATTAAGATCCATTTATCTATTTTGTCGTAAAAGGATAATACACAGACAGAGACGCTATAATGTATTTCCGATGTATAATCAATAATTATCATTAACATGTCAATTTTGTAAATATAAATTTATAGGAAAGTAAAATGCTATTTGTTACATTTTAATTTTTTCGTCTATGTTTGTGACGTATCTGTAGTTTATTAGTCTATGTCCAGCGTCTGAGAGCGAGTGCGGTACCGGTTACTGACGTCTTTACGAGTAAGTTTGTGTAAACAGCTTTACTCGTATTTTTAAACACAATCTTCTAAAGTACCGCCAAAAATATAGCTGTTTAATTGTATTGTTTGGTCTCTTAATTAGTATTATAACGTTGTGCTTGTGTTCGAAATTTGAATTTAAATAAAAATATTATAAATATAAGATCAATGTTCTATTTTCAATTTTCATAAAAATGTTAAGCATTAAAATTAGTACAGAGAATAGTGATTCAACTCAGAATTCTCTATTCTTGTTATATCTAATACTCTTAATATTGTACCTCTTCCTTTTGAAGTCGGTTGAAATCATAATCATTTTATTAATATGACAGTATAGCGTCTTAATAAACCTATTAAATGTACAAGTACCGTTATTTACATTCGTTACATTGTTAAAACTGTTTACAATTTTACTTTCATTCCTACAATGTTTCGACTTCTTTTGCTATTCACATATTTCTTGCACAGTATAAATATGACATGAATAACGAGATTACAATAGCAGGAAATTGTCATCGTATGAAAATAAAAAAGTTATGTTGTCAATATATCACGATCATCGGATATCATCGAACACAGCACCGATCGTTGTGTTTCGATGGATACGGGACGCGGAAGTTACGAAAGTTGCTCTCACACGTTATAAATATTCAGTTAAAACAAGTTCTCGTTCCGTGTCATCATTATGTTGCGTAATTGCCACCAATCGCCTTACAAAACCACTTTTTGCTCTTTTGTTCTCGGGTTTTTGACCTGTACCCACGCTTCTCTTCAATGGGTCAAATGTAAACTTTACTTTTTTGAAATCATTTATTTTACATAGGCAAAGGCAATAAATTATACTGTTTTATTAGTAAAATTTTGTAAAGGGAAAATTTTAAATGTCAAGGTTTACGCAAGCTCGGATTGTTGAAGACGCAATAGTTTACATATATTATGTAATAAATATTTAGCGAAACTTATTTTCTGTATAGATGTTGTAAGATGCTTATTTGTGACTGTATTATGCAACCGGGGTCACACTGCCCCGTGTTGCGTAATGTGTGTCGCCCACATGGTGAAAACTTACTTTCTACCAAATCTAGACACCTGTTTCGCTTCTTCATGTTAATGGAATTGTCGGGCCACGATTTAAGACCTCGTTTTAAGTGACTGGCCGCATGAGATTTCGAAATTCGAATCATTTAATTTCTTTTTCTTTATCTACAATATTTAATTAATTCGTCATTTAAAATTAAAATTTTATTAATGTGAACATTTGTTTGTGTTATGTAATTTAATGATGTTTATTGAAAACTATTTTAATTTATCAATGCATTTTATAGTTTTTTAGTGAAATTGGTATTATGGGTATAGATAAATAGAAAACAAAAGGAATTCGTTGGTTTATCGTTTTTATGCAAAAGACTTTATCATACAACTAAAATTAAAAAAAATTAAAATTACTATTTACATAAATACATTTAGGCACCGTAATTTTTTCTCTACTTAACACTAGATTTCGCCGGCTGAGCAGTTATCACAAGTTTGCGCGCTTCTTGCGCTGTTTAATATGGGCCAGATTGACCAGGGGGGCCGTAGGACGAGCTGACGCCGGATGAGCTTCCGCCGCTGATGCTGCCTCCTCCAATTCCGATGCTACCACTGGAGATACCACCGCCGATAGAACCGCTAGCAATACCACCGCCGATAGATCCACCAGAGATACCACCGCCGATTGAGCCGCCAGAGATACCACCACCAATAGCGCCACCAGACTCCTTCTGGGTCTTGTATTTGATGAAGTAAACCTCGGGTTTGGAGGGTTGAGTGGGAGCGGCGGTGGGGATGGTGATGTCGGGCTGTTCGTCGGGTTTCTTGACCAACACGTAGACGAGGGTCTTCTCTTCGTTTTGGGCCTGGGCGGGGATGATGGGCGCAACTGGTGCGGGAGGAGCTGGCGCCTTGATGAAGATGATCTTGTAGTGCTTCTGGGGCACGCCACCACCTCCGATCACTTGTGGGCGTTGTTCTTCAGGTTCTGGGGGTGGGACATGGACGTAGATGTGTTTCTGGACGATGGGAGCGCCTCCGAAGCCGCCTCCGAAACCGCCGCCGCCGCCGGAACCGAAACCGCCGGACGAGAATCCACCTCCGGATGAGAATCCACCTGATGAGAATCCACCGCTGACGGCGCCGCCGCTGATTCCGAAACTGCTGGAGCTCAGACTTCCGGATGAGAAGCCACCGCCTCCGGACGAGAAGCCACCATGGCCCCCACCGATTCCGCCGCCGATGCCGCCGCCGATTCCTCCGTGACCTAGGCCACCGCCTCCACCGCTGGGAGCATTGTAACTGTATCCCGCTTCAGGTCTCGCTGAGCCGAGCGCCGCTACGGCAGCCAATACCTATGGCAGAAATATATTCTTTACAACTGTTTATGTAGATCGTCCGGTTTTACTGATCATTCGAGTCTTTAACACAAATCACGATTTTTTTATTATGTTAATAAAATTACAAAAAAGTTGATGGCACCCATAATTACACATATAAGAACAATTACAGACATCGCGTCGTCCTGTAACGCTTGTGAATGTATTGTTATTCATGTGGACTGAGCGTCATGCCCTGTAATTTCACTGCTATATCTCACCCTTAACACCGAAAGATAGCTTGCGAATCAAGCTATTTGGCGGCAGTAATAGGTGAGATATACTATCTCGAAATGATGAATAAAACTGAACGATCGATCACTGTACACAATTAGGAGGCACAAGTCCCGGTCGGAGCGAGGCACAGGAGCGCCAGGTCGCTCAGGTCACAAGTCACTTTCACTGCACACGGTTACCTACCAAGAACGCTTTCATGTTGTCTCACGGAGGTCTCGTGGTTGTATGATGCTCTGTACCAGCGACTGTAGCCTTATATATCGGCGGCTCGCCGACGCCTCTCTCCCTTGTTCTTCCTAAGACTCGGCCTTCGGTCATCTGAGAATTATGAATTTAATGACACCCGTCCAATTCGTCTTCGGTGAAAACAATGTGGATCTTGAACGTCCATTGGACACTTTCACAGACACGCCCATAAAAATAATTGATATGTCAACGTTTAATGTGATTGACATATTCATTTTCCATTGTTTTCCGCGACGATATTACTTATAACCGTAGAATTATCTTCGATGACACAAAACGGACAACGTGTCGTGTTCAAATGCAGTCGTTGTAAAATTACGTTATTGCTACATGAAAGTCGCACTTCCATAATAGTAAAACTCTTAATTCAAATATACATTTATTATTAACTAATATTATATTATAAATACTATCATTGGCTTTCAGTGTTGTACATATTATATTTTCTAAATGATTAATGAAAATAATGGATAGTATTACGTACAATGAACTGTATTTCTGTTAATATACAAAAAACCTTAACAAATTGTACACCCAAAAACCTTCTTTAGAAATCACACTATCGATATATGAAAACCGCATGAAAATTCATTCAATAATTTAAGAGATTATCTCGAAGATGCAGACAGATTCATCGGAAGACTAGATTTTCTTATATGTACAGAAATGCAATTAGTTTTAATGCAATTTAATAATTGATTTTTTAATTACCGATTTATAAAAAAGAATGGATTTATTTAAATTTGGAAAACTATAAAATTATGACATGCTAATGAATATACATGAATTTATTTGAAATTCATTTTTATATTATAGTTAAATTTATGTATCACAAAATAGCATCATGTAATAATACAGAGGTCACAATTATATCATACAATCTATGAAAGTTGAAACGAGTGTGTGAAATATTCTGCAATCAATATTATACCTACTTTCATTTCATTTAATAAGCAATTCGAGATTTTACGTATTGGCTTTAAGTGTGTAACCAACTGAAAGAAAGAAGAAATGAAGAAATTTATTGACAACTAATAACAGTATTTATAAAATTATAATAAAACATTACAATACAAAATTACACTTTTACAATACATTATTAGTTGGAAAAATGAGCCATACTTAGTGCAAACTATCTCGCTGGAAGAACAGTGCTATGACAGTAAATATAGATATATATATGATTACTGTCATAGCACTGTTCTTCTGTGAGGGTGTTTTATTTTATTTATTTATATTTATGGGTCTTCCCATAAATATAAATAAATAAAATAAAATACCTATAATCTTTTATTGCTGTAATTTTACAAATATAACATAGGAAACTATACATTTCTGTTTAGAAATTTGCCTTTATTTAAACTCTGATGCAATAAGAGGTGTGTAATAAGTTTGACGTGTCGATGTATATGTATGTGGCATCGTAGCTCCTAAACGAGTAGATATATTTTGATGTTTAAAACTTAACCTGATCGAGGTGGTACTATTAATAAAGGAGTTTTAGTCTTAGGATCACAATTTTTTACTTTTTTAAGTCTTTTATTGTATACCTAACTTTATAAGAAATAATTAATGAACAATAAATTAATAATTATACAAGAAATAACTGAATATATGTAGTTGATCAACATATGTTTAAAACAGCAACAGGCTAATTTCTTATTCATTGTTCTTGTGTTAAATCTGCTTTCCGAATCTGTGGTAGAATCAAAACACGACTATTTAAAAGCGCTTATAGGAAGTTAATTTGGATAATTATAATATTAATTATTTTTCAAATGAGTTCCTTTGTTATAATTATGCTCTTTACAATTAAGGGAACCTGTATGATCATCCCGGATCATATACTCCATTGTCTGGCCTCAAATCTAAATTCCTTAGCCTGATTCAATATCGCTAGCTTAATAATATAGGCATTAACTAAAAAATTACAAATATTGGGTGTAATAGACTGTAATGTTTAAATAAAAAAATTGCAATTTACGAGTTAAAACTATTAACTCATAAATTATTAAGCGTGTATTATAATCACTGGTGGGTTGACGAACCAGACGACCAAACCGGACGGCTCGTGCCAAGGAGTCCGTTAGATTGGCACATTGTGTGCTACGTCCCGTCCTGTTTTGGTATACGAAAATTCAACGTCGATAATGAGATCGAGATTCATCCTCAGGAATCACGTAATTTAAAAGTATGAAGGAACATTTGGATAGGAGCAAAGATGGTCGGTGAACTAAGGTCGTGTTGGAGTGGTGGCTAAGAGATGGTTATATAATAGTCGGTAGAGAACCGATCCGATGTTTAGATGACATACTGCTGTTGGTGGAGAAGCACTAAGATTAGGTTAGGTCGTATAATAGGAGTGCTTACATACGCCGTTTGGTTTGGTTGGTAAAAATGTCACACATGTCTCCGCCATCCTTCCGGCGGTGCACCCCGTCGGTAATGAGATGATCTTAACCTCAAAAAAAAAATTAAAAGCATAGAGGAACACTTAGACAGGAGCAAAGATGGTCGGTGAACTAAGGCCGTGTTGGAGTGGTGGCTAAGAGATGGTTATATAATAGTCAGTAGACAGCCGATCCGATGGTTAGATGACATAGTGCGGTGGGTGGAGAAGCACTAAGATTAGGTTAGGTCGTATAATAGGAGTGCCTATATACACATAGGAGTGCATAGATTTTTGGTGGTGGGTAAAAATGTCACACACGTTATCGGTATCCCTTCGGCGGGGTAAAGGACTTGGAATTGCAAGATTATTTTACACATTGTAAAATAAGATGTACAATTAGGTTAATATATAGATCAGAGATCATCACAATATGCCCCACAAGGGAAGTTAATTCCCAGTTGAGAATAACTATTGCTAGTACCTACATAAATTTGATTTGTCGAGTGGTTTCGATTAGATGCACTGTGGAAACATTTAAATATTTGTATACATTATGATATAATACTATATGTGTATATATAATACATACAATATATTTATGTATTTAGAAAATAATACATTTAAGTATTTCTATGAGTTGTTTAGTACCGAAAGTTTTGCTTAGTTTTGGGACTAGATGTAAATACTAGTGTGTAAATTGTCTTTGGCCTAAGCAATATATATTTAAAAATAATCTTATTTTTTCTTGTAAGTTGAATAATATCATAGGATATGGATACTTTTATAGTCTGGAATGTATAGTAGTACCCTACATCCTATACTCCCATTACATATATTAGTTACTCAAATTTCATCATAATTGGTTGAGCATTAAAAACGTTAAGAGGTAAGCAACAAACATACTTTCACATTCATAATATTAGGAAGGATTATATTCATTAATTCTTTAAAATACCCACTAGAAAGTGTTAACTTAATATAATAAATAATTTAAATATATCAAAATTTATTATACTTTATTTATTAATCTAAAAATACAAAGTATGTCCTTATTTCTTTTTATTACTTTATTCAACTACTTATAAATAACAAATGTAGACTGAAAGGAGCTATCCTCGTGGGTACTTCAGTCTCACCTATTACATCCGGCTAGCAACTTGCTTTGTAAGCTGCGTTTCGGTTGTAGGGTGCGATGAAATAACAGGCAGATAGTCCTTTGGGATGGCAACGCATAAGTGGTATCACGGGTGTCACATGATAACGTGACGCCCCGTAATGTTGTTCATGTATATAGGCAGAGATTACTCAACTTTGCCATTCCCGATACATAGAAAAAATACTCGTAGAAACATAAAATGAGTTACATAGTTCAGTTTTACTTAACACATTTGCTAAAAATAAATCTCACTGTTTTCCGTTACTGTTTGTTACAAAAACTCTTCTTTATTGAATTGCTAGTCGAGTAACTTGATAAGACTTACTTATAGAGATATAACTTACTGATAGAGATGTCAACATTATTTTTAACTTAATTATTGTTACTTAGCTTCGACCGGGAACTACTGTCAGCGTAATCATTAATAAAAACCCTTCTAATTGTATATTTTTCTGTGATTAGAAATGTACCTGCCAAACTTCTGTTTGGGAGGAGGGGGTTTATTGCTTCCATCACCAGTAATAATATCAGATCGACCTCCACGCCTTTTCCTCTGAAAACCATCGTGGTTAGTTCCTGGAAAATTTGAAATTATAGACTAAAAGACCTGACTTTATATTTATCTTATCATCCTCCTCTGGTACCCCGTCAGTGTACAACCGTTAGCACATGAGGCTACACAATTCCATTATTATACATAAAATAAAACTACTTCGTGATTCAGGCAGTTTCCAAACATCTTCTGAAATTAGAGTTTTCAAATAATTCTAAAAGGATGGAATTTGTAGATTTTTTAAAGTATAATAATGTATGAATATCATTTAAAGAGCATAGTTATTTTTTTAATAGATTGACAGTTGGTTTGCTCTTTTGTGGAGCAAAAGCTTGTGAGATTACTGTGATAAGTCAGACCTTGAGTGAAAAATGTTTTATTTTGATGTAATACATAGATTCGTGTAAACTTCAAAGTTAAGTGTTAAAATAAACAGATAAATAAGGAATAAATAATAACCCAACACAATGTACACATCACCATCTAGTCCTAGAATAAGCAGAGATTGTGTTACGTGTAGTAGACAACTGATATAATTATTTAGATTTTTTTTTGTTTTCTATGTATATCATGTGTCAGCGATCTGAACCAATACAAACTATCATACTCACCACCTGCGACCACTAGAAGAAAACATAGCTTTACTTCTAGTGGTCGTGTCGTTGCTAAACCGCTAGACCACCGATCTACTTACTATATGTATATTGTAATTATTTATTATCTCTCAAATTCAAATTAAAAAAAATATTTATTCATGTAGGACATTTTAGCCGCTTATTAACGTCAAATTTTTTATGTTGCAATGTTTTCTCAACCGTCCGTTTAGAATATGGATCCAATTGAGAACGACTGGCAAGAAACGCAATTCACTGTTTTATAACAAGTTGTTTTTTAAATAGATGTCTTCTGGAAACATCCGA